CCACCACCACCACCACCACCACCACCACCACCACCACCACCACCAGTGCAAAACAAATCAAGCCTGCATTAAAAAACGCAAATTAGAAATGCAAAAAAAACGCAAGCTGCAAACAAAAGCAAACAGCAAATGCAAAAAACGCAAGGCGATTTTGAAATGCAAAAAAAACGCAAACCGCAAATGCAAAAAAAACGCAAGGCGTTTGAAATGCAAAAAAAACGCAAACCGCAAATGCAAAATAAATGCAAGTCAACATGCCCTGACCCTGGTTGGAAATTCCAACTGCAAGTCCTGCTGTAGCCTGCAGAGATTCTTATAATAGTAAGCATATTGCAGTCCCCCAAGATGGACCTTACTTGCAAACTTAATATTACCCATGAGCTGTTCCCTGCCGGATACGTCCTTCGTCTGCAACCCACATAACGGCCATTGGCCTCATGAACAGGTTGGTGCATCCAGATGTAGCTGTGAGTTTCCATTCAAGTCCCCGAAGTTGAAAGCCATCGCATCCTTTTCTAGTTACTGTTAAAGCTAATACAAGTAGGCTAAATACTGCCCAAACATTTGTTTCAACGGTTGCCGTCATATAATATTCATGCTAATATTAAACTACACAAAATGGATTCCATTAAGAACCACGATCCTCGCTGTCTTCTCTCTGGTGTTCCCCAAATGACGGCCCTTGGATTTTCAACAGTGACACCAGCATCTGCTTGTTTACCTCACATTTTGCATATGGCGCCCCCTCATCTCACTGTAATATATGATTCATGTCAGACTTGCTGTCGGACTTGCCCCTGTGCGTGTGTGCGTGTGTACATATATGTGTCTATATACACATGCTAACCCTCAGGTTAAACCTGTACTAGGTGCCAACATAGTGACCTAGTTACCAACATCATTAACTGACTCTTGTTTCCGAGCAACATCAACCCTAACCCCATCCTTGTCATTCCCCGTTATGTCAACGGTGACCGTAATACTCGCCCTGACAGCAGTGCTAAGGCCATCCATAGTAGGCTTAGTGCCACCCATCATCTGACCCCAATGTTTCTTATCTAACGTACAACCTTAGTCAGCTAGAAAACATCGAGCGGTAGCTGTGATAACCAGCTCTTTGTCGACACCAAAGCTGATTCGAATAGTCTTGGTTACTACCCAGTATTCTGTAGAGTAATAATGCTGAGCGGAATCGCATCTCAATAGTAATGATACTGGAACCTTATTGGCAACACTTATTTGTAACACGCGCAAACACATGAAATGCACACTCCTTGCTACACAACCTTGGTTTTGGAGTTTTTCCTAAGAAATAAATGGTGTGGGGCGGAAAAACCAACTTTTTCCTAGGGAAAAGATTGTGTTGAACGGAAAAACCAACTTTTTCCTAGGGAAAATAAAAAAAAATGGGGAAACTGTATGGACGGACTCCAAAAAGATGTCGTTTTTTGTTTTTCCTAGGAAAAAGAATGTTCTGGGCCGAAAAACCAACTTTTTCCTAGGGTCAAGATGGTTTTGAACGGAAAACGACCATTTTGTTCCCAGGATAAAGAAGGTTTTTGACCGAAAAACCAATTTCCCCTAGGAAAAAATGGCTTCGGGCAGGAAGACCAACTTTTCTCTAGGGAAAACCAAAAGAACAATCGTTTTGGAGTCAGGCCGTATAGTTTCCCAAAAGATTTGTTTTGTTTTCCCCAGGAAAAAGCTGGTTTCTCATTGGAAGAGTGCAGTGTTGAGTTAAGTGCGTGATCACGTCGATCCTGAACTTGGCGGTTGGTTTGTGAATTGAAGAGTAAAACGACAAGGTCACAAATCGAGTGCTAGAGTTTGATCCTCTCAGCGGCTCTGCGAGTACGCCTTGCGTGTGTGCATGTGAGGACTCATTGTGAGTGTCAGTGTGACATGGCCTTTCAGTCATTGGCGTTTGGAAGATAGATGAACTCTGGATGTTAGGCAGATTCGCAGAGTCTTAGATTCGCAGATTCGCAGATTGTACAACCTTTACGATTTGGCAATTTGCGAATCTGCGAATCTGGGATTCTGTGAATCTGCGAATCTGCGAATAAACGAACGAAGTGATACACGAGTTCACTCTGCTTTGTTCCGACATTGAAAGCGGTCTGAGATACCCACTGCATCATCATAGTATGACTGCCCCTACCACTGCACTCGACTGCCCCTCGCATCATGAGCCGGAGTAGTAATAGTAGTAAACAGTACGCAGCAAAAAGGAATAGCCGCAAAGCGACATTTAATGCAGTCAGCGGCAAGAAGCTCCAGGAAGTGCAGCCAAGATACCTCAGGCGTGGGGTCTTGGCGGGGTACCATATACATATATATGTATGTATGTATATATATAATATATATATATATATATACATATATATATATACAGCTATTTCTATACATACATATGCATATTCATATACATATACATATACACATATACAACATACATACATACACATATACAAAAAATACATATATACATATACATATACATATATGTATATGTATGTGGTATATATATATATATATGTATATATGTATATATATATATATATATATGGTCACCCCCCCATGACAGACCATCCCCTTCAAAACATCGCTCCCACCGGCGTGTTCGTGCCTTTTCCGGGGTATCGAGTTTGAGCCCTCCGAACGTATCTGTGGAACCACCAAAAGACTGAGACCCGTTGACAGACCATGCCCTTTCAACTCAGTCGTAGCGCATGGTCTGTGATCGGGGGGAGGTGGCACTCAGCTTTCAAAAACTCAATTCCAAAATTTCCAAAATTCTCTCCGCTAACTTTCAGGATTTCCAAAATTTCAAAAAATTCCAAAATTTCCAAAAAGTCCGCCCTTATGTTTTGGAAAAATCCTGTCGGCTAGGTCGGGCCGTTGTGGAAATTTTGGAAATTTTTGAAATTTTGGAAATTTCGGAAATTTTGGAAATTTTGAAATTTTTGGAATTTTTGGAAATTTTTGAAATTTTGGATATTTTGGAAATTTTGGAGATTTCAGAGATTTTGGAAATTTTGGAACTTCTGGAATTGATTTTCAATGGGCTGATTGTGACCCATCGGATGACAGACCATGCACTACGACTCACTTGCAAAGGCAAGGTCTGTTTAGACGATTGTCAGTGTTTATCTATTTTTCTAAATTGGTACTCCTACGAATACTATTACCAATACTCATTCTGACATTGATCATTTGCTGACTGCCGAAGCTAATACCAGCATTAACACTAATATTTACACTTTTTTAAGCCAATACGAATAGGCACCGTGCAAATAACAACAAATACTAATAATGATTAATACTGACGTTCATACTCCTACGCATATCAATAATTATGCCCATATTGGTAGTAGTGTATTTTAATTCCAATACTAATACACACCTGCATATACCAATGTACATAAATATACATACCACTATATTAAAGTACAAATACATTAGCTCATGCATGTATTTATCTGTTTGTATTTTCATGTAATCAGGAGTAATACTAATATAAGACAAACGTTCATGCGAATACATAACCTCATTTTAATATTAGCACTCGCACTAGCACTATTACTAATACCAATCACACTGTTTATACCAACACCAAGATTTACATAAGTATTGATACTCCTACGGATACTACTGCGTATACTCTTATGCTGTTAACAGTAATGCTGTCACCAATACTAATACTGACATTGATAACTTGCTGAATATTCAAGATAATGCCAGTATTAATACCATTATTAACACTTAAACTAAGGCTAATGCGACTATGGATAATCCTAATACGAATATTAACATTAATACTCCTACGAATACCAATAGTTATATCATATTGATGTGAAGACTAATACCATTACAAAAGACACGTGCGTATGCTAATGCACACCAGAACACATACCATTAACTTAAAATACCGATATGTATCAATGCATTCATGTATTGATGTTTTAGGACAAGCATATACCCATATACCAATGTAACAATACACTACTTGTTAATGTGTGAATATACTATACTAGTATGCTATTATACTAGTATGCTACTATACTAGTATGCGACTACTGTAATATGCAAGTATACCGACGTGGCAGGTTAGTGTACTAATATGACAACATACTGATACACTTATAAATCTTTAGACAATACACTTATATTGCATATACTAGTATACTAATACACTAATGTACGAATATACTGGTATGTTAATATACTAATATATTAATACAGCAATATACTAGTTTACTCATGCATCAGTTGTACTAAAGTCTACGAATATGCAAGTATACAAATATGTTGCCTGTCGAACACATCAATGTGTTGATATACTAACCTGCTGATATACGAAACTATCAGAATAGTAACATATCGAAACTAACTCTAATTTTGATACCAATACTAGCACCTCTGCCTTTATTAATTGATATTAAACCCAGCATGAAGACTGATACTAATACTAGCAGTGGTACTATTACTGGCATTGACACTGGCACTAACACTAAGACTAAAACGAAGATGAGCACTAACATTAGTGTATACTTACTACTGTCGATATATATATATATATATATATATATACATATACATATATATATATATATACATATACATATATACATACTTACAGTAAACACTAATACTATTGCTGATACTAATACTAATACCAATATTAATACTCATACTCATCCTATATCAATGCTACCACAAAACTCATAACTCACGTGTCGCGCATCTGGTCCATGCGTCTTCAGTACATGGCATGTTAAAAGTATACTTGGTATATGCACTGTAAAGGATTTGCTTTACAGATTGTCGTCATGTGTGGTGTGTTTAGATGCAATATCTCAGCCTAGTCACCGAACGAGAGTACACTATCACAAGGGCATGGTCTGTCAACGGGGGGGTGAGCATATATATATATATATGTGTGTGTGTGTGTGTGTGTGTGTGTGTGTGTTTGTTTGTGTATCGGCGCATACGTGGTTATGATGCGTGCACCGGCGCTTTCACACGCAGATTGGGTGGCAGGTTTGATGCTGGTTTTGTTCCTGGAGTTCTCTTTAGCAGGGGATCCTTCGTCTTTGTTCTTGGCCTTGCGCTTTGTGCTCCTTGCACTTCTGACTGGGGCGAGTCAGAACCCGAAATCCGCTCCATCGCTTGTGCCACACGTGGTAGAGAGAGCCTGGGAGGCGCACTTCAAGAGCGGGTTCGCCTTGACTATGTCGATGCTGTGCTTCGCCGCCTCGGTGGCGATGGTGGCAGGGAGAAGCTTTCGCTGCTGGGCTACAGGATCAGGGAGTCGGGAACCAGTCTCACCTCGGAGTGCGCAGTGTGCGAGAGCCGAGGCTTCGCTCGTCTTACACCTCCGTCGACGTTTCCCCAGAGCTCAACCTCTGCTTCGGGGAAGAACTTGCTCTGGCAGAGTGTGCTCAGGCGGATGCTCAACAAAGAGCTTTGTCAGCTTGATTGTTTGCCGCGCGTCACGATTCCGTTGCTCCCGGTCTCGCTTCTGATTCTCCATGTGTATCATTGCCACTCAATTAAGCACATGCACCCGCATGCTCGCCTCTCCGGTTTGGCGCATGTGCGTTTCCATTTGATCAGGTGCACGCTAAATGTCGTCTCTGTGAGAATCCTGCAACGTTTGCGGACGGACAGGTCGCAGATGCCACCTGGACCTTGCAGCAACTTGAGTGGTACATCAACGAGGCCAGGCCACGTTCACAGGAAATGGCATAAGCGACGAGCACTGAGCAGATCTCAGCAGGGGGAAAGGTGCGGGCTGGGGCTGTCTGATTCAACGATGTGTGAAGATGTCGTGTCAGGTTTCGCAAGGCAACGAGATACAGCCTTTGTTGGCCGGCTGCTATCAGGCACACTTTGGCGAGACGTGTTCTCATAAACACGAGAGCCCGCTTCAGCACTTCAACCGGAAAAGTGGTGAAGCATTTTCCTCCGGGTGCAGCGGTTGTGCCGTGGCCTAAGCTGTATAGCCAGACATGAAATCCGGTGAAGTCTATGCAGTTTCTGTTTCGACTGGGAAGCTGCTTCCAATGATAGTGATGCTGATCATGATGATGTTGGAGCAGCGCGAGGACGTGTGTGAGGTGATGGAGATGTTGCTGTTCACCATATTGCCAGGATTGCAATGATGATGACTACGGCGAGTGTATTGTTGCTGGTATCGGACCATGATGCTGGTGGTGGTGGTGGTGGTGGTGGTGGTGCTGCTGCTGCTGCTGCTGGTGTTGCTGCTGAAATGGTGACGGTCCGTGGTGGTGCTGGTGGTGGCTGTGACGATGGCAAGGACGATGACAACGATGATGACGGGCGATGATGATGTTGATGGTGGCTAAAGGAAAGATCATGTTGTTGATGATGATGGTGATGGCTATGCTTCTGTATGTCGAGACGGTGTGACGACTTTTCGGTCAGCAAGAGGAGTATCCTGTCAACAGTAGATGATGGTACTGATGGTGAAATGATTACGATGCAAATGATGGCGACACCAGTGATGAAGATCCTGCTGCTGTTGCTGCTGCTGGCGAGGCTGGTAATGATGATGCTGGCGATGATAATGATGATGATGTTGTTGGAACTGTTTTGATTGCCGCTTCAGCAGCCACCAGCATCATGACCATCTGAATCATCATGCGCTCCGCACTGGCTGGAAAACCTGATGAGCTGGTCTTGAACTGCATTCACAACATTGCCGCCGTGTAACGTTGTGGCTCAGCCTTTATCATTACGGAGCACCCCCGAAGACGGAACGTCACGGTCCTTGACAGCTGAGCGACACGAAACCCTCAAGAACACAGGAACGATGCAGATACTCTCAAGCCCGAAGGCTGGCACGAAGCTGCAGCAAGTCTTGTACAAGGAGACGGGAATCGGGGCAAGCCAACAAATAAGTGTACATTCAGGAAAGTTAATGCAGGAAGCAAGGGCATCGCAACAAAGACATACAAAGACATATGATTCACATGCTGAGTCGCAGGCAGAGCACTAGGTCTCGGAGACTAGGCGGGGAAAGACAAATCAATCCACATGCTATTCAGCATGCCTTTCTCCAGGAGCTGAACGACATTCGGCGCAAGCAAGGTCATCCTCCTGTAGATGCGAAAGGAGTCTCTCGGCGGATGATCTGCGCGGGCTGCCGCCAGACGGTTTCAGGCCTCTGCACTTGAACTTTCTCATAATAATCGCACAAATCGTCGAACCTGGAGCCGCAACGAGTGGCTAGCACTGGTGTCCCAAGAATCTACATAGAACAAAGACCAGATGGTGTGAGCCAAGCTGATGCTTTTGGGTTGCCGCTGTTGCTTGAATTGGATGCTGTATGGACCAGTGCTGCTTCGCCTGGAGTGTCAAATTTGTTCAGAGTTGCAGGAGGCGGCCTCACCCCGCGAATTCGATTTTGCGAGCACGCGCTAGATTCGGCTTTTTGTTTCGGAAGGCTTGTGTCGCGGCTCTGGACACTTGCTTCAGCACCAGCCGAGGTCATTGCACAGGGCCACTGCCTGGCTCACCGACCTGATGTGGTCCAGGCCCGGAGTTGCAGACCCACAGGGTGCTTTCCCTCTCCTAACTTCATTCGCCTCAGAACGATGCCGTGTTCAAGAATCCGTTCCACTGTTGAACGGGCTAGGCACAGTTGTATGGAGCTTGCAGCGCTCGGCCGCCATGTCAAGCTCATAGTTGTTACAACGATGGATCCCTACAAAGGTCTTTAACTTTTACATCCTGGATCCCTGCAACATGTCAGAACATGCGACAACAGCCGACACCAGCACAGACAGAGGAGTATTTTAAGAAAACTTCCCCGGAGCGGCAACTGCTACCGCTCCTGCTGCTGCTGCTGCGGCTCCTGCGACTGCTCCCAACTCAACTACTACGACTACGACTTTACCGGGCAACAGCTGCTGCCACTGGGCGGTGCAGGGACGGGTGGCTACCCTGCCTAGCTCTTAGAAACAGCAGCTCTACGGTGCTCCCCCTGCCGATGCCCTCCGCTCTCTGCCTTTTTCTGCTCTTCAGTTTGCCTCCTGTGTTTCGTGGGCATGCTTTGTAATCTGGCAACGCGGCTTTGCTTGCTCATCTCCTGAGTAAGCATAAACAGTACCATGCAGGCTGCCTGCCTCCGAAACACGGTGTGTGAAGTAGTAATGTAAACAAGCATGTTTCCGGAGAGCTGTTCGGAGCTTTTGCGGTTCATGTAGACCAAGCATGTTGAAAGATTGGTCTTCAGAATGCCGCAGTCCAACTATGCTACCAGCGCATAGTCTCCGAGCACTCTCGGACAGAGACTCATGTGGCAGACTGTGTTGTTGGTCACTTGATTGCTGGGCGGGTCGCCGAGCTTGGTCCGCAGTCAGCTGGTGGGCTGCTGTTGTCTTGCTCAGGGAGGCGATGATGGTGGAGGAGTCGGAGCCATCGTTAGCACGAGGACACCGGCACGGGATAAGGATCAGGAGGAGGACAACGACGAGGACATACGAGGATGATCAAGAGGTGTGCGATGCACAGGAGAATAACGCAAGCGAGTAAACGACGGTTTCTGTTGAATCGGGCCGTCTTCTGCCTTAGCCATATCTGATAGAAGGACTTATGGTAGCACTGTTTACAAAAAAAATATACACATACATATACTTGTGCAGCATGTACTAAGCATCCGCAGGCACTGCCGGGATTCGCGGGTGCCTGGCGGCTTACGGATAGCAAAGTCGCCATCTTGGAGGACTTGGAGGCCGCAACTTGATGACTCCTGTTGTCATGCAGTTTGTTCACGAATTTTCGTGCTTGCATCTACCAGAATGTTGACTGCTTCGCGAAACTCGAATGCCCAGTGCATGAACTCAATCAGCAGGGATGCGCGGCAGGCAAGTTATTGCTATCACTCCGGGGTATATCTAGTATACAATATACACACATATAGACCTATATACACATATGCATACATACATATTTACGTAGGTATATATAAATGTATATGTATACATGTATATGTATCTGTGTCTGTGTATGTCTGTACACATGTACGCGTGCGTGTATGTGTATTTGTGTGTATATGTATAAACCTATATATATATATATATATATATATATATATGGTCAACCCCCCCCCCCCCATGATCCACCCCAGCCTTCTCCTCAACTACTCCTGTAGTGCCCTCTGGTACAAGGTGCGTATTGCTAAAGTCAGAATCTATCGGTATTTACGCTGTTTTATGCAGTTCATGTACATGTACAGATGCGGCTTTTCGCTTTTTATATCATATACAAACAAGCCAAAACCGAAACCAGATTCTGGTTCTGGATTCTGGTTCTGCTGCCGCGCTCTTGTCCACTGCTTCGTATCAGCTCTTGCTGTTCAAGTCAAAACTTGGCCTTCCTATTTTGGAGTTTGTCGAACTACTTACGATGTACAGTTTGAATAGACACAGCTGCTCTTCTCTTCATAACATAAGCTGTAAGGACAACTCCTTCAGTGAAAGCAAACATGCCAGTGGTATGTTTGGCTTACTAGCAACATTGTAACCACACTAAACAGAGGTGTTGCCCATCAGACATGGAAAGGAATCCCCGTGTATCTTCATGCTTCAAGGGAACCTCGAACAACATCATATCTTCAAAATTTCAACCGACAAGGAGGTTGTTCTTGTTCAGGTGGTCAATAGAAATCTTGTTTCAGCACAAAGAAACACAATAAGCCACCTTAGTCCCTTATCAGTCGCTGGAACTCAGTGGCTGGAACTCAACGAGCTCTTGCAGTATACCAATACCACAAAATCGGAGTGATTAGGGAAAGACATGGTCTCCCTCCACCAAACTCTAAATACATTCGGTCACAAGCATAGTATGTCGAGCTTCTTACGCTTTATACTTCGTGGGAATTAAGACAAGCATGTATCTGGAAAGCATTCGTTATTGAACACATTTGTTTTTTCTTTTTAACAGATGCAAGACGATCCTGGCTCAGAACACATAATCGAGCTCCGTTGCACCGCGCTACTCGCAAGAGTTATATAGCTCCTGCCATCTTTGAATACAGCATGAAACAGCTCCAGGCCTCTCCTCATAGCCTCCAAGAAATGGTGGAAAAACATCTTTTCTCATTGTGCTTTAAGGAAAACAGTCAAAAACTGGACTTACTTCTTGAGCAAGGTTGATCTTGACTCGGTTATGATTTTGCTCCACGAGAGAAGAGTTAGTACCGCCAGTAATCGAAGCAATTGAAAGCTCATTTACCAGGTTCCCCAGTGTCGCCTGAATGGCACCTTATATGTAATGATATGAAATATCGGAGCTTATCAGCTTCTTCAGTTTGTGAGGTAATATAGAATACAAGGAATACTTCTTCTTTGTTCAAGCTACGGGCAAGAGTTTAAGAACTCGACAGCATCTAAACATGATGTACAGTTCAACGAACATGTGCATTCGCAAAAACAACGTTCTAAAGCATCCACAACACAAGCAGGTTTCAATATTCTAAAGTACAGCTGTTCTTCTATTTCTTACATTCAGCAAAGGTGATCTTAACAACAGCTATGACTTTGTTCGATGAAAGAAGCAAGAGCACACTTGAGAACGGAAGCAATTGAAGGCTCATGTATGAGCACATGGTACGGCTGTTCTTCTATGACTTTTGCATTTCAGGTTTCAGGAATCTTGGAGATTCGAGCCTGGCAGTGTTTTCGCATCCGAGGTTGCCAAAACACCGCCAGGCACCAATTTCCCCAAACTTTGTGAGGCTGGAAGTGCCAAAACCTCGCCAGGCACCAATTTCCCTAAAATCTCCGAAATCCTGGCATCTATGGGGGCCGTCAGAGTTCAGCTGTATGAATTTTGGGGAAATTGGTGCCTGGCGGTGTTTTCGCATCCGAGGTTGCCAAAACGCCGCCAGGCACCAATTTCCCCAAAGTTTGTGAGGCTGGAAGTGCCAAAACCTCGCTATGCTCCAATTTCACCAAAATCCCCAAAATCCCGGCATCTATGAGGCGTGCCGGGCCATAGTTGCTCAGAGTTTGGGATTTTTGGGGAAATTGGTGCCTGTCGATGTTTTCGCACTTCCGCCTTTGCAAACTTTGGGGAAATTGGTGCCTGGCAGTGTTTTCGCATCCGAGGCTGCCAAAACACCGCCAGGCACCAATTTCCCCAAAGTTTGTGACGCTGGAAGTGCCAAAACCTCGCTATGCTCCAAAATCCCCAAAATCCCTGCATCTATGAGGCGTGCCGGGCCATAGTTGCCCAGAGTTTGGGGATTTTGGGGAAATTGGTGCCTGTCGATGTTTTTGCACTTCCAGCTTTGCAAACTTTGGGGAATTTGGTGCCTGGCAGTGTTTTCGCATCCGAGGCTGCCCACCTCCCATGATCCACTGTTTGCAAGAAGCAGGTTCGGGTGGATCATGGGGGGGGGGCGTGAGCATATATATATATATATATATATATATGTGTGTGTGTTTGTGTTCATCGGTATCTGTAATGTACATGCGCCCTGGCCATTGGCAAAGCCTTTTATGTCTGCCCGGATGCCGGGTGCTGTTTGCATCCTCTTAATCAGGCTGCGTACTCAAGAGGAAATGCGGCAACATACATACAGACAGACGGAGGGACGGACAGACAGACAGACAGATAGAGAGACAGATGGGCAGTCGGGCTGGCGGGCATGCAGGCAGGCAGAGTGAGACAGAAAGAGAGAAAGAGGAAAAGCTGGAGAGGCAGATAGAGAGATAGATAAACAGGCAGGTTTAGTCCAAGTCGGCTAGATTGAACCAGATTAGATTAAACTAGGTTAAGCGCGATAGTTGGCTACAAGTGTGACTACACGTGGTTTGTTTGTTCGTTGGCTTGTTAGTTTGTTAGCGTGGTATTGTTTATTATCTGTTTATTGTTTCTGGTTGGTTGGTTATCTGGCTGGTGAGATAGTGAACTAGTTAGTGAGTGAAGGACTTAGTTAGTTAGTAACAGTGAGTACTCAGTTACTTAGTTTTTCAGGGTGAGCTACTGAGTTGATGAGTTAGGGAGTTATTGAGTCCGTTTACAAATCAGTCCATGATTTCCGCACTTGTAACGTTTTGCCTTTCGCGGCACAGAAGTGTGAGCATGAGTGCTGTCGTGTCTTTGCGCTTGATGCTTGCCTTTCCAATATCTTCGACAATCTCTGGCTTTTCTGCAGGAGCGTCGGTTGGCTTTGCTGCAGCACCTGCAGAAGCTTTGCCGCCCGCCATGGGTGAGAAAGGTCATGAGTCATGATGTATGCCTGATGCTTCGTGCAGAAGAGAGCCAGCCCGCACATGGTTCAAGCGAACTCAGCATCTCGTGGTATAGGCTGATATGTCCAGGTCTCTGGTTTTTGGTGCAACACCTCGGTTCCAAATATTCCGGGTCACGGTATTTGGCCACACACCGTAGGTCCGTCCTGAAAGTTGTTTTGCTCGAGTCGGTTTGAGATTGCTGGTACCCAGCTCAGGCAAAAAGGATGAGATGCTCGCTTGCACCGCCCCTTCCTTGTGGCTCACTGCCTGGAAGCAGCATGACCTTCGATCGAAATTAACAATAAGTTGTTCATGGCTGACAGCCCTTCCGACACTTTCCATCGGATCGAACATCCTGGTACTCTTATTGCCGAAGGTGATTTAGAGACTTGCCAAGGGTTTCTTTGGGGATCCAATGAAGCAAGCCCAAACATCACCGACTGTTCAAAGCGGGCGCTTCTGCAGGCAGAAGTAGTTTTGTTTTAACCGTTTGTTAAACACTCCGTTACTACTGAAGGCACTTTGGAGCCAATCCTCCCGAAATCACCCCTGCCCTTCCAAGCCGAACTTGCATCAGCTAAAGGGAATCCGGAGCAAGAGTAGGAGCAACATCAAGAGCAGGAGTAACAGCTGTAAATTCAGGCGGGCGGAAGGAAAGGCAAATCCAGTCCAGGATTATGGTTGGTTTTGAAAGTGTCCCAGCAAAGATCTGACTTGTAGTGTAGCATGTGTGGTTTGCGCCGGCCTGCATTGAGGCATTCACCGCAAGTGAACTGCCATGCTGGCAAGTTGTTAGCCTCCGTTCGGAGTGCAAGAGACCGGTCGCTTAATTTGCAGTTGAGAACTGAACAAGATTTTTTACTACCTACTCGCGGCCATCAGGCGTCCAGCAGTGCAGTTAAGCAAACAGCCGAACTGGCTGCTGGTGTCGCTTGTTATGGAAAACCTGCCAAGGAGAGCCGCCCTCAACAGACGTCGCGGACGCAGAACTTCAAG